ATGGCTTTGGACTTGTTATACCTTCTTCTACTTTACCTCATTATAATTATAATGTGTTCTACCTGTGAATCTCACTGTATAACTTTTTATAAAAATTATTTTGGGTATAGACTGAAACCTTTATGTCTATTATTCATTAATCTCATTAGTTAGGCTGGGTGCAGTGGCTCACGCTTATAATCTAGCACTCTGAGAGGCCGAGGTGGGAGGATCAAAGTCAGGAGTTTGAGACCAGCCTGAGCAAGAACGAGACCCCGCCTCTACTAAATATAGAAAAAATTAGCTGGATATAGTGGTGCATGCCTGTAGTCCCAGCTATTCTGGAAGCTGAGGCAGGAGGATCACTTGAGCCCAGGAGTTTGAGGTTGCTGTGAGCTAGGCTGACACCATGGCACTCTAGCCCGCTCAACAGAGTAAGACTGTGTCTCAAAAAAAATAAATAAATAATGTATATGTTTTTGTAGGAGATGTAGCCGTATAAGGAAAACACCTGGAAGTCTGCTTTTACCTTTGGTTCTCTAGGTAGTGTAGATAAATATCTTATGTGTGTACTTGTCATTTTCTCATCTTCAGAATGGGAGGGGTGATATATTGACAGATTCCTACTGATCTGAATATGACTTTTGTGGAAATTGACAAAATTTCTTCATATTTTTTGCTCAGTAAAGTAGGAAAAGGTATTATTGTATGAGCGTCTTGTGTGTTTGTTCTGGTTTGTAGCACTGTGGTTAGTTTCGCTCTTTCATTTACAATCTCCAACATTTGTTTTACATGACTTAGATTTTTTCTCCCATGCCTGGAGAGTCCTGTGAGAATGCCAATAATTCCTTGGGCAGAAGAATGTCTGTTAATTGTGAGAAGTTGGTGAAGAGGGAAAAGCCAAGGGAATTAATTTTTCCATCTAATTACGACCTCCTTCGTCACTTGCAGTATGCAACACATTTTCCTATACCTCTGGTAAGTCATTGCTTCAATTAATTTACACCATGATTATTTTATTAGGATATCATTAACTCTTGAATGTCAGATTATTCAACTAATTTCTTGACTGATGCATAATGATAGCAGGTATGTTTGTTTTTGCATTTGCTACTACTTTTGTTATAATTCTGATCTTAGAGCTTATGTACTGATGTAGCTCAAATTTGTGGTGTGATATTACTAGCTGTTTTAATTTAGAAAACGTAATTTTCTATATTAATATCCTTAAAGAGCATTTGACTCACTGCAAATGATGTCTAAATGTGTTTTTCTACTTCAATTTGAAAGTAACCTTACTGAGTAGCTTTTACGTGTACTGTGTTATAGTAGATACTTTTGGTATTCTATAGATGAGTAAGAATTTTGAGGCACAGAATAGGAGGGAGACAAACATCTATAAATGACAAACCGTCAAGTAAGTGCAATAATTGAGTAAAAACTCAAATACCCACTGGAAAGTGAACCATTTGACATTCCTGAATCTCTTCCACTCTCAAAGAATGAATATTGGAGGGAAAGAGATCATTTGGTTGAGAAATTGGGAAGACTTCATAGAAAAGCTTATATATGAGATAGATTTGGGTTTGAACCTGTTGAATTTAAGACCTGGATAGCAAATGGGCAATGGTTGGCAGGAAATTTAGTGTTTGAATTTTAGCAAAGTCATGTGCTTTATTCTAAAGGGAAACAAAGTTAGTTTTTTGATATTAGTAATCAAAATTGGGCCAAAATCTGAAAACATTGTTTTATTATATTTTCAATTCACCCATCTGCACACCGATCAAAACAATCTTTATTTTTGGTTTCACTAACTTTTTTCCTGGAATTTTATGTTAAGTGCAATTTCAGTGAGTCATTTTTTTGATTGAGTGCTACTTTTATATATCAAAAATGTAATTGTAGGTATATTATGTTATTTCTGTGTCTGTGAGGAGTTTTTTGGTTTGCAAACTAAATATTTTGTTATTTTTTTGTATTTTGGAACATCCTCTTTGAGATGACTTTCAAAATTACCAAACCCATATTTTTTTCTTATTATAATTAAAAATCTCTTTGTTAATTTTTCTACGTCCAGAGCTGTGTCAAAACTTGCTAAAATTCGTTCTTGTTCATCACTGCCTGAATATATCTATGGTTTTCAACTGTTACCTGTAGATGTCACTCATTTTCAATGTAATGGAGTGATCTCACAGTTTATTTCGGGGAGCAGAGGAGGTGACCTTATATTTTAGAGATGTATCCTGAAAAATTCATGGATGAAGTATCATGGTGTCCGGGATTTGTTTTAAAAATATTCAGAATAAAAAAGTAGAAGATGTTAAAGTCTGGAATTTATTTAATAGCAATGTATGAGTATTAACTTCTTAGTTTTAACAGGTGTACTGTCCTTGTAAGTCGTTAACATCAGGACAGAGTCCGTGAAGGCCCTGTGTGAACTCTGGTTACTATCTTGCAGCTTTTCTGTGAATCTGAAAGTATTCCAAAATAAAATGTTTATTTAAAAAAAAAGAAGGAGGTAAATAAAACAAATGTGGAAAAATGTTGAAAATGGTTGAAACCAACTGAGGGTTATTTGCTTCTCATATAACCCTCAGAGCTTTGGAGGTCTCCCACATCCATGTGTCTGGGTGTCACAGCAGGACACTAGCATCAGCTTCTTTATCCCATGGTTCATCTGGCCTTGGCTTCACTGTCATTTCCAGCTTTTAGCATTCTAAGAACTATTTCCTTAGAGTAAAGAGCTTGCATGATTTCTAGTTACCAGGTCTCATGATGAATCATGACGTAATTAAACTGTGATGCCATCATAAAAGAACTGCTAGACAGTTGATATTATAGGGTGCAGTTTTTTTTTTTAGACAGAGTCTCACTCTGTTGCCTGGGCTAGAGTGCCATGGTGTCAGCCTAGCTCACAGCAACCTCAAACTCCTGGGCTCAAGCAATCCTTCTGCCTCAGCCTCCCGAGTAGCTGGGACTACAGGCATGTGCCACCATGCCTGGCTAATTTTTTCTGTATTTAGTAGAGACAGGGTCTCGCTCTTGCTCAGGCTGGTCTCGAACTCCTGACCTTGAGCGATCCTCCCCCCTGGGCCTCCCAGAGTGCTAGGATTACAGGCCTGAGCCACCGCGCCCAGCCGGGTGCAATTTTATAATAGCCTTCTACCACCAGTTTTCCTAAACCCCACTTTACTGTGAGCGCAATTCAGCGGAAGCCATCAGCAGGGGAAACAAAAGGATATGCTTAAATACTAATATAATATTGACTTTAGGAATACTATTGAGAGTCTGGTTTTTTTCTTAATAAAAAGGGAAAATCTGACAGACCTATCATGTATATGAGGAGAATATAAGAATATGGGGAAAATATTTTTTATTTCTCCTGTCTCTAATATGGCCCTAGTGAGTGAAGTCCAAAGAGAGAAGACTAAAGGGGACATTACCAAAGATTCAGAAAATAAACTAGTTTCATGTATTCTGTTACATGAGTAATGTCATGATCTGCCCATCAGTAAGACAAATATTTTAAACTACCAGCAAACACAGGTTCCGGTGGATAGGCATTCTACCACCCTATAACAGGTAAGTCATTTGTACTGTGTCAGATGTGTGATGCTGCTGGGAGTTTTTGTCATTACTAGTAGCTGGCTAGATTTTGTGTATCACTTAACCGTATTAATGTTTTGCAGTAGGCACTTTGTGCATTTTCACATTTGTTATTCACATTCCCACTCATAATATATTTGCGAAATTGTAGATGGGAGTTTCAAGCTTCAGAAAATAACTCTTCAAATGCAAAAATGAATTTGGAAACACACTTGTTTTCTTAGCTTCCAGGAACACCATTTCTTAATCATTGCAGCTAATGCAAATGGATTACCAACTGTTTTTATATGGGCTTTTACTAATGAAATTAAAAACAAACAACAAATCTCATGTATGCTTATCTAAAATCTCCAATCTTCTTTTCCCTAATGAGTCTTTCTTTTTTTAATGCCATGTATTAAATCCTTTCTGCATAACCTGCAGCAGACAGAATTCGATCAAAGGGTTGTGACCCTGAGAGCTGGTGTCACCCATACTTTAAACTGCTGGCCCACCACATGGAGTGAGGCTCATCTTTTTGCATTAGAGTGACACCATTCAGCTCAGCCTGTGCTACTTTCCTAATGTGGCCTTGCTATGTGGAATAGGTGTGTCTATTTTAAGACGATTTGATTGGTGCTATTTTTCCATACCTTTGATGTGAGTTACTAGTTGCAAAACAGTAGTTTCAGCAGTTAGTTTAATTTAACAGCTTCCCCTGAAAATGTTATAGGGCCTGTTTATTTCATATTACTGTGATATAAAAATAAGAAATCACTAGATTTATCATTACTAACAATAGGAAGCCTTTATTTATAACCAGTAGGTAGAATATAATACATTAAAATTATCCATGTATTTCCAGAAGCCTTTTTGCAAATAAATGTTTTTAGTTATTGTGTTAGAAAAAATCAGTTATTATAAATTAGAGGAGTAGTGAGCTGAAAGGTTACCATCTTGAAGTGATAGATTAAATAAAAGTAAATCAGGCACAGGTTGTTTCATGTGAGTGCTTTTATTTTTTAAAATGGTCTAAAGGCCTTTAAAATTGTGTTGCTGAAGGACTTTCTGGCAACTTACATCGAGATTGTTTTATATATTTTTATCAAGAAGTCAGGTCCAGGCATTTAAGTGACTATGTCATGAATACCTCTGGGTCTATGTCATAGACCTCCTGAATTTCAAGGATATTGCAGGTTTTACATTGGTTCAACAGACTCTAGTTTTTTGTACAAATATTTGGGTTAAGGGGTATCAACAACCATAAGAGTATAGGTGTGGCTTGCATTTAGAAACAGGATTTCTAAGTAAACCAGTCCACGTTTGCTAGCTTTCTGTATTTTTTCTTACTGAGATTCTTTTTTTCTCTTTTGAAACTGTAAGTAGCTTTACAATCCAGTAAGGCAAAAAGCGATAGCATGAAAAAATCCCACATTTTATGCATCATTTTCACATCTTGTTTTTTCTTTCTGAGCCTTGATCTCCTTAGATGAGGCAAAAGTCTCAGTGACCTTTAAGCGGAATGCTTTTGAGAGATGGTAGTACAGGATAGGATCAAAGCACAGGTTCGACACAGCCAGGAGCATCGTGGCCTCTTTGGCTTTGAAGAGTGAAATCTTGGTTGAGCAGTCAGATATGACTTCTGTCTGGCTGAGGGTGTATGGGATTCGGACGATGTGGTAAGGAACAAAGCATATGATGTAGCCTGACGTCACTAAAAGTATGTTGATAAGAGCCCTTTTCACATTTGGATAGTTTTCATTATCTTTGTTTCTGTAGAGTTTTCTAATTACAAGGCAATTAGATATTAGAATAATGGCTGAGAAATTTAAAAATATTGCTACACATATGAAATTTGTCAGCAAATGCCAGTTTCTTCCAAATTCCTTTTTAAATTCCATACAACCCACATTTGACTTTTCCTTGATATCTTTGATGGGAATTATCATGTTTGGCACCATTATGAGCAGGACCATTAGCCACACGACGGCTGATATCATTTTGGCAAATCCAGGTTCTTGTATTCGATAGATCTTGCAGCTGTGTGTCAACTGGAGGCAGCGATCGACGCTGACAAATGCTAGGAAGATAATGGACAAGTACATGTTGATGTAGATGAGGCAGGCCGTTACTTGGCAGTGGAATATCCTCAGCTTCCAGGGTGCCACACCCAAGTCAACAACAATCTTCACTGGTAAAGCCAGAGTGAGCAGGAAATCGGCAGTAAGCAGATTGATCAAGTATATGCTCACACACCTATGATTCATGTTTTTCTGTGTAAAAGCCCAGGTTGCAAAACAACTTCCAATAATTCCAACAAGGAAAACTAAATAAAAAAAATATGTGAGTGGCTCCAGATCTCTGTAAACTGGACAGAAGAATGAACTGTTTGTCATCTTGAGGGAAAGTAAAGGTGACTCTGTCAATTGAAAAAGAAATCCAAAGAATCTGTCAAAAGAAAAAAGGGAGGGGAGATTGGTAATTAAAATTCAAAACTATTTTCTTTAAAAACATTTGCACTCACAATACCCTTGTCTTTCTAGTTCTTAGATAGAATTTTATTGGTGAACTTATTAGAGCACGCGGTCTGGTAAGAACATCCTAGTGAGAACATCCCAGGTTACGGGGAAGCCTAGGTTTTCCATTGTCTGATTTGTGACCTTCAGGAAATCCCACGTAGGTTTGCTTTTGGAAGGGATATTTTGACCTCATGCTTTTGCATTCTGGTACTTCTTTTGTTAGCAGATGAGTTGGAAGTTTGCAGAGGAGATAAATGAACTGAGATTCTGAGAAGTGAGGAGAGGAAACCAGGGGGTTGTGGTTGAGCCTGGAGACCTTTCAATGAGGCTTTCTGCTTATGCAGGAAGAGGTAAGAAGTGATAGAAAATTATAGTAAAATTTAAAAAGTGCTTTTTAAAAAGTAGGCTCTGTATTGTGTAGCCTATTAGAAACAGAATTTCACTTATCTTTTTAGCAAAAAGAGTTCAAAGATTAGAATCTGGTCTCGAATCAATGCTTACTTCCTCCCATTTCATTGCTCCAATTTCATAGTGTTATAGACCTGTGATGTCCAGGATTATAGCCTCTAGCGACACTGAACAGGTGAAATGAGGTCAGTTCAAAGTGATATGTACTGTAAATGTAAAATACATATCAGATTTTGAAGATTTAGGACAAAATATTATAAAAGTAATACAAATTATACCATGTTATACAAATAGTCCAAAAATTAGTAAGGTATCTTTAATATCTCAATATTTTTACATTGAGCATGTGTTGAAGTGATATTTTTGGTATATAAGGTTAAATATGTTATTGAAATTAATTTCTCCTGTTTCTTTTTACTTTTTAGATACAGCCACTAGAAAAGTTTAAATTACCTTTGTGGTTTGATTTATATTTTTATTGGAAAGTATCGGTATAGATGTTTCTGGGTCAGTTTTTTTTGAGTAGTTTTGTGAAAATGTATTTTAAAATATTCTAGAGCATCAAAGTATGTTTATCTGTTATAAAATCCTCTAAGAGCGGCTGAGTTTGATACCCATTTGATTAAATAAAGTTAGAAACATCTAACTTTAACACTTGGGTGGCTTTTTTGTTCATTGTAGATTTTGAGGAAGTCAAAGCCCAAATCCTTATCTAAGGATAAGACATATCCTTAGAACCATTGTGATTGACATTGATGATGACAATAAAATCATGTCTTGTCCCCTCCAAATCTAGAAAATTGAGTGCGTTTATAAGCTCAAGTTAAACTAATTGGGCTCCCTTTGATCTGGTCTGGTCAAACTATGAGTTTAGAATCACAGATACTTCTTTCTGGTACTGCCTGTTGATATGGGTCCTCCTTTTGCATACTAAGCAACGTTCTTTTGTTTCAAAGGCCAGAAGATTATTTTTGTATTTTAGCAGGAAAAATTGTTATCAACCTTTGTAAGGATGCAAATAATAAGTAATAGTGGCTGACATAGAAGGGCAAATCAGCCATTTTCTGAAATCTCCCTTAAAAAAAAAAAACCCGTAAAACTTCTGACACCTTTTAAATCTTAATTCTCCCAATTATTTTATGATTCATTGTGTACATTTTGGAATGAAACAATATATGCCAACAGATTAATAAAGCAGATGAACATAAAACTTTCTAAATTAAAGTGTCACTTAAAGTGTACATGCCATTCCTCTTTCCCTACCTGAGTTAGGACTTTAGGGTTCATGAATAATATCATTCTTTGCCAAACTCTGAAAATAATTAAGCACTTGCTTTGTGTCCAGTGCCGTGCTAAGTACATTACATGTACTTATTAAACCTTTCATCATTCCTATGTGGTTTTATCATTCCTGCTTTACAGATGAGAAAACTGAGAGGTATAACGAGGTCAAGTACCCAATATTTTATAGCCTTGTAAATTATAGAACCAGGATTCCAACCCAGTCTCAGAAGCCGTGTTCAAAACCACTGGAAAACATGGTCTTAATAATAATGATGATGGCAATGACGATAATGATGATAATGATGATTATTACAGCAGCCAATCTTTACTGAAGGCTTACTATATGGCAGGAACTATATTCTAAGCAATTTTTATGTAAAGGAGCTGAAATAAAATATTCATTTTTAATGTTTTCCTTAAATAATAAAAGTAGTTTAGGTTTTTCATGTATTTTGATATTTCATTTTACAATATGTATATATATTTAAAAATCAAACCTAGGTCCTATCTGATAAGTTTAAACTGACTTTCCTTTCAAAGTTCCTGTAACCTAGTTTCTCCCTACCATCCCTACTTTCTCTTAATCCCAACTCTTTACTTTAGATTGGTGGGATCTCCACTGTTGTGTGAATAGTTCCTTCCTGCCTTTGTATGGTTGTGCATGATAAAAATTTTGGAGTCATAGGCCTTTAAGGATGGTTGGAACCTTTACGGATAGCATGTAGTACAATCCCCAAATCAGTTGAGACTGAGGTCTGGCGCTAGAGTGTTGCTCAAGATTTCAAGGCTTGTTCAGGTAAGCTAGGATCTGCCGTTTGCTGATCATTTTTGAGGCTCTCTGCCTTTATCCTTCCTGTTTCTAAATTCAGCTTATTCTAAGGGCTTGAAGGAATTTCTTCACATCTGAAAGCGACTCCAGGCTTTACTGACTTCCTTATGACTATGATTTTGGATAGTCACCATTTATTTGTACCTTGGAATTCTGAATGTACTTTTCTCCTCTGTGGGAAAAACTAGCATTGCCCTACATTGATCGCATCACTGACCTTTTCTTATCGTTCCTTTATAGGGTGCTAGGAGTTTGGCTTATGTTCTTTCGTTTCAAATGTTACATAATAATAGTATAATAACATAATAATGTGTTTCTTTAAGTGCCCCATTCTTGTACAAATATACAATAATGTCTCATTTTATCAATGAGACTTATATGGTACAGAGAAGAATTAGAATAATTTGTTTTGATTACTTTTCTCTAATTAGAACTAACTATATATTATATGTGAGTAACTTATTTAAAATAGTTACGGTGAAACTAATCATTCAGTAATGCTTGAGAATCATGGAGTGTCTTACATTTGCTTTTATGAACTTCTGTCTAGATTGCAATGAAAAATCTGTTTATTTAAAATTTTTGGTTATGTTGATTAGAGGTTAATTTGCACTGTAACAACATCCTATGCTCTCTGTCGCAAATTTGAGAACTAAGAGCTTAATAAGTATTTTGCCGACCAACTATTAGCTAGTGGAAATTTAAAGTACTCAGAGGTACTTCAGCAAAATTAAGAAAAGATTTTGTGTCTACTTTGGATAGAGCGCCCATTGCTTAGAAAATAAACTCGTTAGATTTTTCTGTGAGAGTCACGGTGGAATTTTCTTGAAATTACGTATTTGTAATGTTTGTAGAGGAAAGTCATTTTAAGACCTGTTGTGTCCTATTGTGAAGATCTACAACGTGGCCTTTATCCATCCAGTTATGAAATTGAATTATTGAATAGTCTTGCTCATAGAGGTATTCAGTCTGGTGTGAATTAAGCTGTTTTTTTGAGACAGATGGATGGGCTCATCAGATATAAGAAAAGTATAGTGCAGTTCACAGCTAGGACCTGTTTAGAGTTTAATAATTGGTGCCCTCTTACATAGTAACCCTGTTACCTGTTGAGTTTTTCTACTTATGTTATTTAAACACTGAAAATCATAAATTTGTCTTCGTTGGAAAAGCATTTGAATAGATTAAGTATTTAAAAAGACATACCTGGGGGTATCTTCTGTGGGCCTCAGCGAGCCTAGCTGTAAGTCATCAGAGAAGCATGAGCTGTTCAGTTAGCTGCAGCAATAACAGCCCATTGCAAGGCTGCTGGCTTTACTAAAAATTTCCTTTCCTTTTTGTGTGGTTTTAAAATGTTGCATGTTGACGTAGATGAAGCTGTGGTTTGCAAGTAGTTTAACTGTATGAAAGTCTCCTAAGTAGTTTTTTCTTAAGAAAGCACATGTGAAATTATAAAGCAGTTCAGATTTGTCAACATCTTTTAAAGAAAAGATTTTTCACCTGTCCATTGTAGTACCTAGGCTTTTTTTTTTTTTTAATTCTTAAATATTTTCAGAGATGTGGTCTTACTCTGTTGCCTAGGCTGGAGTGCAGTGGCATGATCAGAGCGCATTGCAGCCTGAGCTCAAGTGAATCTCCTGCCTCAGCCTCCAAGTAGCTGGAGTTATAGGCATGCACTGCCATCCCTGGCTTAGCCTTTTTTTTTTTTTTTAAATACCTAAGATATATATGTTCTATGTCATAGTGATTTCAAAGAATGTCACTGTTTATGCCTTGAGAGGGATTATGAGTTAAAAATATAAGGTGTTTAAGAAAATACTTCTTCTGTATACGTAGTGACACCAGAATTTCAAACTTAAAATTAAAAATATTGTTGGCATTTGTATCCCTGCTGAGACATCTGTTAATAAACAAACAAAAAGATAGGATTTAACAGAATCTGGTGAAATGTATTTTATTTATCTTTATTCTTTTTTGTTCATTGTTGAAAAATCTGGAAATGGAAATAGAAGAGGAATCATCATTATGTAGAGAGATAATTACTATTAACAGTACCAAATTTTTGGTACTTTATGTTTAAAAAGTTTTCTGTGTTTATGTGCACCCACTTAAAAATGTTATGTTGTGCATACTATTTTATAGCTTACAGTTTTTTTCATTTAAGAGCATATTATATCCGTTTTTCCAGATTATGAGACTAGACCAACAAATATTTGTCAGTTTGACCGGAACAGCTTAATTAATTGAGGCAGGTATTTAGTAATTAATAGACTATATGTAAATGAACCCTTAAAGTGTGCATTTGAATTGCTTGGTTAAATGTTCATTCTGCCTGTGGGTGAGCAAATGTTTACTGAAT